GCTTTGTCAAATTAGTTTTTTCCGCACGGAGCTGTCCACAGCTGCAAAGGGTTCTAGGTGTGATACAAGGAAATTCAGGCCCAGCGGACAATGGAAGGTGTGGGAACTAAAATAATCCAATTTAGTCACGTGGACCTTGGCAAGCATAAACCAGGCTTAAGAGAAATCAGCCTCTTTGTTTTCTTTTTTTAGCAAAAGGAAACAAAAAACTATTATTAATTATTCGAAAGTATGAGGAAGATATAATCGGCTCGATAAAAGAAAATTTTAAAATATTTAATTCATTTCTTTTGTAGTTATTTTATAGGAAGTAGAGCTAATGATTGTCTTACTAGTGATTTTTTTCAATTTTCTATGAAGTTCTTAATATTCCTCAACGTATTGTACTTCGATTCCAGCCTGTGTGAATATTTTAAAATTCAAGGATAGTTTTTGGCAGTTTTTTCCTACTAACAGCTAGTCACAAATTTTATACTGTTGTCGTAACTTTGCAACACTGGTCTACAAAGTTGCATGAACTGAATACCAGTAAGTAATATCAGTCAGTAATAGGGGAATGTTTTATACAATGTCCTGTACTGTACATGTATAGAGCACAGATTACATACTGATATGTACCTTAAATTTTTGCATTTTAATTCAGTTTATTAATTAAAATCTTTCTTAGTTTACATATCATAGCTTGACTTTCTATAAAAACTGTTTTAATACCTAAATACAACAGCAGGGATTCACTGGTTTTCAAATATTGATTCACTTCTGGGATCCTCTGCCAACCATCACTGCATATACTGTAAAAAATCAGCCTTCCACTTGTGGTGTAATCAGTCCAAATTCACCTTCTTCTGGACTGATTTGTTTCCTTAAGGGGTCAGCCAGCTTGAGAATAAAATCTTTAACCTCATAGAGTGTTTTCTCTTAACTTTGCACAGGGCTTCCCACAGGGACCACTTTAAAGCCACTTTTACTGCAATATTCCTGCTTTTGTACTGAAAAACAATTACATTCTCAGCAAATTCTTTTAATTGGCACCATCGAGACAAGGTCATAAAACAAGAAAGTTCAAAACTTAAACTTGAAAAGTCACCAGGTGTTTATCTTTTTGCTGATGCTCATATTTTCCACACCTGCGCTGCCAGAGTGCCCATAATCACTGAGCCTGTGTGTCTGAAAGTGTGTGCACACTTTAGCACTTCTGTGTACATATACCAAAGCACCTTTAGGGTAAGTAATCCTGTTGGACATAAATTGCGAAACCTCCTGGCTGCTTTGTCTTTCATCAGCCCTCATTCTCTTTTCATGAGCCGGACTTTGCTCTGTGTCTAAAACAAAGTAATGGAGGTCACCCCAGATGGCTGCAGCACACTCATTTCCTTCTTTTCTCTCAGGCACCCTGACAGAATACAAAGTAGATTTTCAAAAATGTCACTTCCAGGTTTAAACACTGACTGCTCTGTTCCATAGGCTGTAAAAAAAACTGCATGGCAGTGTATACTGTATACATACAATGCAATCATCCTCGTTAAACCAAAAGTGTCCAAAAAAACAAACAAAAAAACTGTAAAATAATTGAACTTATCACATGTACATGTAAGCCTGAAACCTGTTTCTACACTGGAAAAACAATCTAGAAATAGGTAAGTGTATTTACCCTTAATTAGAGTAGGTAAATGAGATAGTTTGCCAATGGAATGAGTATTTTTACTTTTAAAATGAGATAATTAGATAATAGGGGCTTGAAATAAGAAGATGCAATCGTGTTTTCTTATTTTAAGTGTAAATTGTCTTGTTCCATTTGCAAAATGTCCAATCCAAGAACAAACACTCTTATTTTAGGAAAACATGAATTATTTAGATTTATTTTTTTTTTCAGTGTGTACCCGAAATGCAGACACATTTATCCTAAAACCATACCAGCACGCTGTGTTTTAAGTCTAATGTTAAAACTAAGGAAGATAGCGTGGAGCTACCACGGGCACCATTAGCTGAATAGGCACTTTGCTATGAACCCAAATATTATACAGAATAACTAATTCCTGAAAGTATTCCTGTGTGAAAATTACTGATACTGTTGTGGTGTCACAAAAATCTGTGAGGAGTTTGAAGGGTGTTCTTTTAAATAATATACAGTGAGTACCTCTATATTAGCTTAGGCTGATTGACAGGGTATCTGCCTCACAGACTAAAACTGGTTATTGGTTCCACAGGAGAGGAGCCTGATAACTAAAAGATCTGCCTCCCTTCTAATTTTAGACATTCTAGGAACCACTAGTAAATCTGAAGATTGAGAGTGAAGTTCTCGTCTAGGGACATAAAGAATGATAAGATCTCTGATGTAAGATGGAGCTTGGCCATTCAAGGCTTATATGTGACAAGGAGGGTTTTAAATTCTATTCTGGATTTAACATGAAGCCATTGAAGAGAAGCCAGCATAAGACAGATTTGATCTCTCTTTTTAATTTTCATCAGAACTCTGGTGAAGAATATTTGAATGGGACCCATAATAGACACCGTAGAGCATTTTTTTTGTCAAGTTTGTGAGTGTTCATGCTATTACACATTACACCTTGATATAGATAACTACCTGGTATTTTAGTGAAGCACAAACTTGCCTCTAATTTGCAAAGAAATGTGTCAGTGGCATAAACAAATGAAAACCTGTTTTATTACTAAACCTACATAAATAATTATGTTGAACTTTTGCATTACCGTTACATTTGTTTTCTTTTAAAACCTAGTAAAACCTAGTAAATTCATCCATAACCTTCACTGCAGCTGCCTTCCTGTCATCAGCGAAAAGTCTCTCACTCCATGAATAAAGAACAGAGAAAGTATTGCCCATTTCCCACTGAATTTTTAATATGGCTTAAATATACCTGTTGTGACATTTAAAGGTTTATGGTGTTCTTTGGCCTATAAACGAGCTTCATCAGTAATATCAAACAATATTTATTATTCATCTCGCTACTTTTAACTCGACATTTGTTTGTTTGTGTGATTTTTCCACAAATAAAATATTTAAAAGAACCATATTTTGAAATATTTGGTATCTGAAAGCAGAGTAAATTCCCATTTGTTTTGAAAGTAGAATGAACATTTCTTAAATCCACACATAGAAAAATAACACTTAGACCCAATGAAACTTTTGCAAACATGCTGTTGGACTATAATCACAGCAGAGTTTCCATGTCAGTTTTTTTTACACTGTTGATCATTGTAAAAAAAATACAATACATTAGAAATTATTCAGAAACATTCAACATTTTTTAATGTAAAACACCAAAGTTAAGCTAACTCTATTATTTTATGGTCCAGACCACACAAAGTAGTAGTTTTTTTCTTCCATTTTTAGGAAATAATTTTAAAAGAAAGGCATGTCCTTGAATTGTGACACAATTCTAACATTCTTAGATAATATCCAATACAGTTATTGCCCTTGGAAATCACCTGATTAATAAATCAAATTCACTTGTGTGTAATTCAGTCTCAGTAGGAATAAAGCTGTTGTGTAAATTCTTGTTGGAGAGCATTAGGGAGCAAACAGTATCATGAAGACCAGTGACTAGTACTACCAGGTCAGTGAAAACTAGAAAACTGGTTTAAAATGGATGCAGCCACTAGACTCTTGCTCAGTAAACCTTTCCTGGAGTCTTTATCAGTTCTGGCAGCTCATATTGGAGCTGCTACACTTCCTGACTTGCACGGAGAACTTTTCCACAGAGAAAGTTTTTTTTTTTAAAGAGATATAAGACTAAATTGTCTATATCGAGATACTCTAATTGCATTATAATTATAATTTAGACCCACCAGTTTCTGTTTCTTTGTCTCTCAGCAAACTTCTCAGTGAATTTTCTCCTTCCCACTACAGCTATTTATTAATGGTACCTGTTTGAAATTTCAGGGAAAAAAGTTTTGATTCAATTGTGTCTTTTTATACAATTTTTTGGAAACAAAAAAATATTAAGCTATGTATTGTATTTTGCGATGCAGATTAAAAAATATTGGGGAAAAAAACAAACTTCCAGCCCTACCCTAGTCTTTGACAATCTAAAAAAAGCACAGTTTAAGCTGTTTTCAATGAGAAACAGCGTGAGATACCATTACAAATCTACCAAGGCATACCGGTAGTTGCTCCCTGAAACTGACAGACTAGGCTTGGAGAGCATCAATCAGAGCCTGTAGTAACATTGGAGGAGAACTGCTAACAAACAGCCAGAAACACAAGGAGATGGTTTAGGGTCAATAAAGCTTTTAAGGCACAATAGCCATAGTAGTCCAGACCACCCAAGTACAACTGAGAATTTGTGGAAAGACTGACATTTCTGACCCTTTTATTAAATCTGACTGCATGGGGGACATTTACAAAGAAGGATAACACAAATGTCCCAAAAGGGATTTTATGAATCATCTACTTGGGTATGATGCATATAAATATAAAGGACAATGCTATCATTTGCATTTCATTTCATTTAACTTTTTTTTTTTCAGTTGTGAGCATGCATGATCCTCTGTTATTCTTCATCAACTCTCCAACTGACCCTGCTGCTTTCCCTAATGTCAGCTGGAAATGGCTCCTGTCCTCTGCCACTGACTGCAGGATAAAGGGAACAATAGGTTGTACTCAGGAACTCAGTAAAATTAAAGCAACCAGCAGACCTCATAAAACTTACAGACATGAAATGGGTCATTTTCTGAAAATCTAGTAATGGCTGAAGTATTTTTTTCCCACCATAAACCCCCTGCGACAATATTTTTTATGTTGTCTGAAACATTTCCTGTTTCGATTAAATTTCATAGAAATTCAAAGTCCATGGTAGCAAATCTCTGTAGTCTTTTAACCTTTGCAGCCTCCCATAAATCATACAATGTTTGGTCTCTAACGTGCCATATACAGTTTTGTTACATAGTTCAGTCCCAACCCAATAAACCCAGAGGCACAGGGGAAGGCAGCAAACATAATGAGAACCACTGTTGTTTTTTTATCGTTTTCTTCAAAAAAGGTGGAAGCAGCCACGGACTCGGAGTCTGAAAGCAAAGGCTTGCGGGAGTACCACTCTGTTGGGATCCAGGTGGAGGATGACAAAAAAGGGTGAGCTAATGGCAACTTGGTTTGAAAATTATCATAGAAACTCTGCCTTTGATGTTATATCACCTGCTTTTAGTGTTATTATATGCGATTTTTGTTGAATTTCATTCATCTTTTGCTTTGTACCTCAGACAGGGGAGATTTAAACGCTCCAACAGTGTGACAGCAGCTGTCCAGGCTGACTTAGAGCTGGAGGGCTTTCCCACTATGGAGGACAAAGGTCTGCAGTTTGGTGGGGGCTTCCAGCGTCACTCAGAGCCAAGTACGCCTACCCAATACGGAGCGGTGCGCACCGTCCGTACGCAGGGCCTCTTCACCTATCGAGATGATTACCGCACCCCTGCTGAGCCGCCCAGTCCTCGCGAGACCACCAGCGAGACAAGCTGGCAGTTAGAACCTCCTTCCCCACGGGAAAACCAGGCCTCATCAGGTGAGTCAGGAAGGGTGTCTCCATCCCTGAGGAGAGATGGGAGCTGGTTCATGCAACTGCTTCACACCGAGACCAAAAGGATGGAGTCCTGGTGCAAAGAGATGGAAGCAGAGGCTGAGGAGAATGACCTCTCAGAAGAAAGTAGGTGTTCTGCAAGTAAAGCCAAAAAGCAAAGGCTGTATTTTAATGAGGATAAATCCAACTGTGTCTTTCCTTCAGTTTTAGGTAAAATACGAAGCGCAGTTGGAAGTGCTCAGCTGCTCATGTCGCAGAAATTCCAGCAATTTTACTGGCTGTGTCAACAAAATCTGGTAAGACATGGTTATGCATTTGGGTCAGCAGGTATAAAACTAAGCCCTGCATGCTTTCCCTATGAAAACTTACATATCTAAATGTAGGAATGAAGAGCCTGGTATTCATTTATATATTCATTTAAAATTTGAGTCATTGGGCATGTAATATAATTTACAGTCTTAGAACCTTAGTAGTTTTAAATTAATCAAACAGAAATTATATTTTGTCTCTCTTAAAACAGATAATTGATCAAAAAATCATTTTTTAAACAAACAAAGCTCTTTAAATCTTCCCCTAAAAAAACAAGAAAGCACTACCCCATATGGATGATGACGTGACAACTGAAATGACACAGCTAGAAATCTCATGCTTTGTTGAATGCTATCTAAAGAAAAAGGACCTTAACAAAAAAGTGTCATGATGGGTTCACTAAAAGCGACCCAAGAATGCAGAACACCACTGACGGACACAGGGATGAAAGTTTAACAAGTTTATTTATGCACAAGCACACAGATTGTACTGGTTCGGGTTCGGGGCCTGGATACTGGTTCACCGGAGTCTGCGTGAGAGACAGTTCAGTTAGCGTTGCCAACAGAGGTTTGATTTCCTGAAGTTCACTGATTGTACCTTGAGGGTTCTTGAGGTTAGCTTTGGGAGAGTCTCTGTTGGATCTGGAGAAGAGTTCATCAGCAGAGTCCGTTTGCTGCTTCAGCGTCTCACGTCTACAATGAACAGACCTTGGCTTTGGGATTCCCAGCTCTAGTCCAGAGCTGCTTGGAGGTTCTCTGTGATTCTTCAGGTTTGGCTCTGAGGGTCGGCTCGGCAGGTTAGCTCTTCCTGAGCTTTCACAGAGGAGACACAGGTTTCCTAGAAGACAGAGACAATGGTTAGAATCCAAGCTGGATTCAAAAGTCATAGAGTTACACTGAGGATCTAGGCTTAAGCGCTGACCAACTGGAACAACACTGCGGCGTTGAGGCAAGGTCTGAAGACAGCTTAAGTAGTGGATCCTCTGATGATCTTGATGAGATGCAGCTGTGCAGGAGGCTCCCTCAGAGGATCCACGGCGGACTCTGCTGAAGAAAGGTGGAATTTCTCCAGCTCCCAACAAAAAGACCTTGATATGAGATTACCGAAATCCATTTTATAGAACAGATCTCACAGGCAGTGCCACAGGGGCAAAGCATGCAATGCTTGTATGATGCTTCAGTTCTCTATGCACCTGTTGCAGGCTAGAAGGCTGGCCCTGGACCTTTGTCGCATGTATTTCCTCTTTCCCTCAACCCCATTTCCTGACTTTCAGTTGAAGGCCACTTATATAAAAACAATTATTTTTAAAAGATCATCTCGGCATTAAATGTTGGTGGCTTCTGTGGAAGTAAATACCGGTAAGCAGGACAGATTTATCCTCAACCACCAGCATTTGTCATTGGGGAACTTGTATTTTTCCCTGAAATATGAGACAAATCAATGTCTTGGATTTAAGGAAAGAATCAATCTTGATCTAATAGGAACATTATGCAACACAGTTTGTGGAATGGCTTTAACTGATTTCATTTTTAGATTTTCATGGGAAAACAAGGTGGGCAGAGGTGCAGAAAACATCCATCAAATGGCCTGACACCAAAACACCCAGAATAGCCACAGTAAGGTCTGTTGCCTCTGGACATGGTGCATCCTCTTAGCCAAATGAAGCACACAGCTCCCCACATGTTGCTTTGGAAGGGGTTTTGCAAAACCATTAAGCTGCTTGTGTGATAAAATTAACTAAATTAAAGAAACCTTTTGATGTACCACAGTGTTGCATCAATAAAGTCAAATGATTATGTGGATCAAAGTAAGTTACGCTAAAATAAGATTTTCTAAAATAGAGATTATTCACCCCATTTAGGGATAAGAAAAATAATTATGGTTAGCAAAGAGGTGGAGTAGATGATGTATAATGAAATGCAGTTTGTCACAAGTAGTTAATAACGACTGTTGTAAACTACATGCATGCTGGATTCACCACAAATGGCTTCTAAATGGTTGTCTATTGGAAGGTACACACAATATGCAGAGAACATGTTTGAAAGGCCATCAGTCTATCACAGGACTACACGGGATACACAAGCATGCTGGAACATATTCACACCTTCATAAGCAACTGAGAGGTAACCTAGCAGTTATGTTTTCAAAATATTGGAGAAAGCCAGAACTTCAGCTGAGAACAATAAAAACAAATACTTTGATAAAATGGAAACTCCATGCAGAGATAACTGGGGTGAATGTTTAAAGTCAGAAACTCTGTGGCAGTAGTGCTAACTGCTGCATCATAAAAAATATGGCTGCACAATTTTGGCATCAAAACAGATGAACCTATTTTGAGACACAAAGGAGAAGAGAAAAGTGAATAATTAGAAAAAAAGGAAAATATAGGTGCTCTTAGTTTTTCTTCTTCTTTGGTTAAAGTGAGGGTTGACAGCTTTAAAGTCTATATCAACGCTTTAATTAAACTGAACAACTTATTTGGAAGGTTTGAGGCACTAAATATCACTCCAGCAGTGAAAGCTGTTCCACACCAGGGGGAGGAGACACTAAACCTGGACGTAGCTGAAATGAGGAAAACTCTGAGGAGAGTCAATCCATGGAAGGCCCCAGGGCCTGATAACATACCTGGTGGGGTGTAAAAGGAGTGTGCAGATCTTGAACACCTCGCTGGACCAATCTTTAGTGCCAGCATAGTTCAAGTCTCCCACCATTATTCCGGTCCCAAAGAAGCCTCAGGTTACCTCACTCAATGACTACCGGCCTGTCGCACTGACTCCAATCATGATGAAGTGCTTCGAAAGGCTGGTCAAAGAACACATCGTCTGCAGTCTGCCGCCAACATTCAACCCTGCCAGTTCACCTACTGACGGAACGGCTCCACTGAGGAAGCCATCTCTGCTGCTCTCCACCTGAGCCTGGTACATCTGGAGGAGAACAACACCCACATGCGGATGCTGTTCCTGGACTTCAGTTCAGCTTTCAACACCATCATCCCACAGCATCTGATGGGCAAACTGGAACAGCTGGGATTCAATACACCCCTCTGCAACTGGCTGCTAGACTTTCTCACTAACAGACCTCAGTCAGTCCGGGTCGGACAGAACACCTCTGATGTCATCATCCTAAGCACAGGCTCCCCTCAGGGCTGCGTCCTGAGCCCCCTGCTGTTCACCCTGATAACACAAGACTACGTCCCCAGGTTCACCATCAATCACATTGTGAGGTTTGCAGACGACACCACGGTGGTGGGCCTTATCCGTGATGACAACGACCAGAACTACAGAGATGAGGGGGAGCAGCTGGTGGACTGGTGCAAAGATAACAGCCTGATCCTGAATGTAGAGAAGATGAAGGAGATCATCTTGGACTTCAGGAAGAACCGGCCTAACCACGCACCACTGCTCATCAACAGCTCAGCTGTAGAGGTGGTCAACAGCACCACATTCCTGGGGGTGCACATCACAGACACCCTCACCTGGAATGTAAAGACCACCTCACTGGCCAAAACACATGTAGGCTGCTTCTTGCGGAGGATGAGGAGAGCCCACCTGCCCCCACCCATCCTTACCCCCTTCTACAGAAGCACTATAGAGAGCGCTCTGACCAGTTGTTTCACTGTGTGGTGTGGAGGCTGCAGCGCCGCTGACTGGAAAAAGGTGAGAAGAGTAGTAAGAACAGCAGATAAGATCATCGGGGCTCTTCTTCCCTCCATTAAAGATATTTCATTCCAGCGCTGCATGTCCCGAGCCCATGACATCATAAATGATGCCTCACACCCCCACCATGAATTGTTCTCCCTGCTGTCCTCTGGGAAGAGGCTTCCAAGCATCGGATGCAGGTCCAGCAGATTCCAGAACAGTTTCTTCTCCACTGCCATTAGACTGCTGAATGTTGTGTAAAATTGGTTATTTTATTGTATTTTATTACATTTATTATATTTTATTATTAGAAAAAATAATGTTAGAACTGTAAATATACAGTCATATATTTATATTACTGTTTTTATGTATTTTTACTGTTTGTCTAGAGAGCTGTTCTTAAATAGATAATTCAGAAATTTACAGTATTGATTAAAAGATGAGTCTAAAATATTTTTTTTGGGGGGGGGGGAAGCTGACTGCAATTATGCAACGGTAATCTATTTTTTAGAGGATTTAATCAGACTATTTTGCAATTTGAAAACACATTATTTTCTTTAGTCATACTGTATGTCCTCAAGATCCTTTATCCCAGAACGCATATCACATTTAGTGCTTCCTTTTCCTCTAACAACCTAATTCAAGGCCACCTCAATATAGAGCAAATAGATGAAAAGCTGAAAACTGTCAATCAATAACTATCCCAGCTTATTTATTTAAACATTCAGGAATCAATGCTGTATGAGCTTGACTTGTATGTGTTTGGTAATAAAGCTTTAAAACAGACATGTGCTTTTAATGTCCTGTTTAGTGCACAAGATTGGAGACTCCTGCTTCCTATTGGTGCTTTTGTTTACCTATTTTATAAAATGTAGATTTGATTTATGAGAGCTGCACTTGCTGGGTTCGCAACATGCAGCAGAAAAGGCTTATTTTGATGGAATGGAAACTGGAGATTAGACAAAGCGTCACAGGAAAAGGCAAGCAATTTTCTTAATATAGGCGACAGTGTTATATGTACATGCAAGTTCAAACTGAAAAACTGACATGCAAAAAAAGAAAAGATAATTAGAGGAATTTTATTGATACAATTACTTTAGTCTTTGGCGCTCAGACCTCGGCAGGAAACATCAGCGCTGGATTTTGTTTGATATGCCTAAACAGGAGCAAAGAACAAAGAACAGGGCTGTTTCCCCCGCCAGGCCTGAAACTGGTGGGGGAGTGGAGATAGATTTAGTTGGTCAGTCTATAGACTGCTGGTTAGCGAGACGGTATGCTGAGCTTTATGGGTAGATCCAGTGGATTGCGTGAGCTGATACTAGAGCTTCACTCAGGGACCTGGAAGATGGAAGTCCTGTTTGATAATACAGATTGAGAGAACCTGTCAATGATGAGCAAGCATGAAGCGACAGTGGGGAGGAAAAACTCCCCATTGGGAAGAAACCTCTGGCAGAACCAGACTCAACATGGCGGTCTTCTGCCTGACCGGTTGAGATGAGACAGGGAAACGCAGTCAGAGTCCAGGAAGAATGACACTAATTAAGTTTAGCTACAATGATGGAGGAGGGGATGGAGGTGGGTTGGAACGGGGTCATCTGAATTGAAGTCAGACAAGCGCAGCCGCTGCCTGCGCTTTGGGTAGAAGATGGAGTTTTGGATTGGAGACCTTTTAAGATGAACTCTGGATGCTGATTAGGCTTTCGTGGAGGTGTGGTTCAAAGCTCATTAGCTTGTGTCGGAGGTGGATGAAAGGGAGTAATCAGTTTATTCAGTTGAACTTCCACCTAGGCTCCATTTCCTGGAAGAACTTACTTTAGTTAAAAAGAGGCCTGCAGGCATACATTCTATATGTAATAATATTCACTTTACTTTTTGGTTTCCTTTGCTAAATCCCTAGAATTTAGAGGCTTATAAAGACATCCATTTTTAATTCATCCCCTCTTTAACTCCTCTATTAACTTTCAGGAAACATTATTTGAAATGTTTCAAAGACAGACAGCAAACGTTTAGTGGAAGGAGCTATAGAATTAATACTTACACAGTCAGAGCTTAAAACTCCCTCCTTACATTAAGACTTATTGTACTTATTATAACTTTCATGTTGTACTTTGTATCTAGGGCAACTTACAAATTTAATTGTCCTTCTAAACAAAATTCATGCTAGGTAAATAATATTTTAGAGTTACAAAACATTCTGCCTGAAATTATATGTTTAACATATTCAATGTGGTCAAAAATGCATTTGAATTATATAAGATTCTGTCATATCTTTAAAGTATAATGTCTAGAACTTCATCCAACTCAAGAGAAGAATTGCAATCGGATTTTAGCTGTGCTTTTTTGGAAAACTTCTTCTGTTTGTTGTTTTGCACATAAAGAGACATTTTCACAAATTTAAAAAAGAATCTGTAATGGTCATCATTTCAAAAGCGTCAATTTGCCAAAACAGCTAATTTTTTACCGGCTATTTGGATTACTCTTATTTGCATTTTTACATTTAGAATAAAGGATTAATTTATCTCACACTGTTTTTTTCCACTTTAGGAATTCCTGGTCTTGCAGGTTTTAGATGTGAGGATAAAATACTGTGCAGTTCCAAAGGCTGATGAAAGAAATAAAATGAATAAAAATCAATTTATTTAGCACTATGCATATCTTTTTCTCTGTCATTCAGCTATTTTTTGTGAAGCTTTTATTTAAAGATTGGAAATAGCTGATATTTCTAAATAAAAGCAGATGTTTTGTAGTAAAATATGACATTGAAAATTAGGAGAAAAGGACATCCAAACCAGCCTGGCAGTACATTAAAACAGGATTCCCCTCTTTGACTAGTTGTTCCTACACTGGCAGACACAATTGTTTATAAAAACTAGCAATGAGGTTTTTTTTTTTTACTTTGCAATGGAGGGCCCTCAAACCGGATCAGTATATTTTATTTTGATCCGATTTTGCATAATGTAGTTATGGAAAAGGAATTAGGGCAACTGAAATCTGATTTTTTTTTTTTTGGGAAAAAAGACTTTAATCTCAGAATTCTGACTTTAATAAGTTGTAGGGAAGTCATATTTAATTTCAAATTATTCTAGCTTAAACATGTATATAAATGTACTCTTTATCAAAAAGTTAGAAAATCTGTTATTTATCTGTTATTTCATGCAGGCCAGTTAGTTAGTTATATGTCATCTTGAACACCTAAATTCGGCCAATCATATATCAAGGGTCATCTGTCAATCAATTTTTTTTCCGTTCATAGCATCTTGATTAATATGTTGCAGCTAATATACGCAACGGTTGAAATTAGAAATAAGAATAATTTACTTTATCATTGAGTTCCGTCCCAGTGTTCATGGGGATGGACGTCTGTGTCTTCGGCTTTCTGAGAAAAAAGTCAGAATTGGGAGAAAAATATCAAATTTCTGAGATTAAAGTCAGAATTCTTACTTTTTTCTCATATCATACAGAAATGAAATTTAAAAATCAGTTAACTTTTTTTATTTTGTCAGTGGCCCTAATCCTCTTCAGTATATATTTCTAGTGTTCAGCGAATCCACTGAAAATATCCACTTTTTATCTCTACACAATATTTGCCCAAATTTCTTTTGGATCATATAGTTTTGGGTTGTTCTTTTGTGATCAGTAGTTTTTCTGACCTTCAAAGTTTAATTTCTTTCACATGATTTACCAGAAAACCAAAGCCTTAAAATGGCTTTGCAGCCTTTTCCACATGGATCTCAGTGAACCGTTTTTTTTTTTTTATTTCCTTGAATATTACATGCTGTCAGACGGGTTCTATATATAATTTGTTTCTTAAATTCTACAGGACTGGCAGTAATCAGGCCAGAGTAATGAATGAATAAAACTTAGTTCTTCAAAAAGAAAAGGTTAATCACAGTTTATTCATGATTTAACAAGAAAGGCAATTACCTTCTTCACATTTGGCCAAGTTGGTCTGAATAACTTCGTTCCCTAAACAGAAAAAAAAATCTTTTTGTGAAAACATCATTTTGTAATTACTCAGGATATTTTTAGTGTTAAAACTGTTCAATGATTTAAAACATATAATTGTAAGAAAAAAGCAAAGACAAGCACAATCTGACAGGGGCCAAGTACTCTTTAAAAAGAGGAGGATATGGAAGAAAATAACAAAAGGACATTAGAAAAATGGAGAATATCAAACTGCTACAGAGCTGTGAATTTTATGAAACCATTACACGGCATCAAGAGACAATCACTTATATCATTAAAATGTGAAAAGCAAACTATCCCCTGACTGTTATTTCTATTCATAGATCTATCAAGAAAATGGCTGATAAAATATAAAATGGTGCATTGAGTGTGTTCTTATAGAGTGTTGATTTACAAATAAAATCTAATCTAATCTAAATCTGTGCGTAGAACTATATTTGTAATTACAATTAATACTAGATATTTGCGAACACATTATCAAAAGATGTGTAAAAATGGTTTATGATTTTGATCAAATGTTTTGGGCTTCTTTTCTTAAGCTTCTTATAATAGTTTGCTGGAATTTTGGCCCAGATGTCTTGAGATGTTGCTTGCATATTCGACAGAAATTACTTTCCTTGTGTTGTAAGCTGCTTTGTGAAATGATTCCCCAACATGGCTCATAAATATAGCAGATTCAAGTAGTTTCCTCATAAAGTTCTGCTAACATGATTTAATCACGACTGAGAACATTTTTCATATGCTTGTCTTCTGACATTTTATGATAAAAACAAAGAACATCTATTTTGGTGAGTCGTCTACACGGATGAAAATATGATTAACAGACTTTTTTGATTGAAAGCATGTTTGTGCATTCCTCCACAACGCATTTGGTAAGAGTTGCATTTATTAGTTTACTAGTTTTTAAACAAATCAAGCTGCTTCTGCTCTTATTGGCTTAAAACTTAACATGGGAGGCCAGTACCCAATCAGTTTAAAGGATTTTAATGGATGTCCCTCCCTTTTGTGAAATAATTTCTACATGAGGCTTTCCAGATGGATGTGCATCGTTCAATTCAAATTCTATATGGTATCAATTTGGCCAATGCCAGGTTAGCACAATTATGATTTATTTAATTATGATAATTTCTTTTATGAACCTCATCCTTCTTTTACAGTTACTCAAAAGCTGCCAGTAGAATCTGATTATTTTGTCAACATTTGCACAGCAATCTTTGTAGATCATCGACAACAAGCCCACATCCTACGCAGACTAAAAGAAACACTATGTGCAATTTTGTACCCCTTATTTTGAATCTATGAAATCAGGCTGTGAGTAGGAACCCATGACTCATTTAAACCTGTAGTGGGCTTTTCATCAGCGAAAGCAAATAACAAATCAGACCAACATGGAAAAGGCAGCAATTATTGTTTCATCCATTCCTCTCCTTCCCCAGGATCCTAGTGCAATGCCGCGACCCACCTCTCAGGACCTGGCTGGGTTCTGGGATCTGCTGCAGCTTTCCATTGATGACGTCAGCATGAAGTTTGACCAGCTGCAGCAGATTAAGAACAACAACTGGAGGCTAATTGACAGCCCAGAAAAGAAGGTAAGAAGTCAGTTAGACTCCACATATCACAACATTTTTTAAGCTGAATAAATTATTTTTCTTTTTTGGAAGCCAAATTAAAAAAGATGAATGGATTATGAGGGGGAGACGGGTACGGAAGAGGATTAGGGCCACTGAAAAAAAAAAAATGTCAACTGATTTCTAAAGTTTATTTCAGTTTAAACTGGGAAAAAAGTCCGAATTCTGAGAAAAAAGTCAGAATTCTGAGATTAAAGTCCGAATTCTGATAAAAAAAAGTCAGAATTCTGAGAAAAAAGTCAGAATTCTGAGATTAAAGTCCGAATTCTGAGAAAAAAAAGTCAGAATTCTGAGA